CCGGGCGGAGGCCGCGGGCGCGGGGCCCCGGGCCGGCCCATTGTTATCGGAGCGCAGGGAAGGGGGAGCCGGCGGCCGCGCTTGGAGTCGTTCCAGGCGGGTCCCGGGAGGGCGGCGAGGGCCGCGCTGTGGGCCGGGCGCAGGGGTGCTGCAGGCCGCCGCTGCAGCGGGCGCTGCTGTGTGTTTTCCAGCGCCTTCCTCAGGGCGGAAGCCGCTGAGCGTTCTGCCCAGGTGATGAGGAACGATCCGCGCGCCCCACGCACCGGGCTGCTGCCGCTGGACGCCTCCATTGTTTGACCACAACAAGGGCCGAGCGCTCCCAGGTAAACTGGCCGGCGGGCGAGCTCCCCGCACTCCCAAGCTAGCGGCATTTTCTGCTCCCCGGGAGTTGACTGCAGTTTCCTTGCTGTACCCCGCTCTGATGAACTCAGTAGCTATTCCCCGACGTCTTCCCTTTCAGATTAGCGGCCCGTATCTTTGCCAGATCACCTCTCCTTTCCTCAGAACTCGGCTCCTTTGTGAGACCTTTCTTGTCCAACTCCAACAACTCGCTCGCTCTCTCTCTCTCTTGAGGAGCCTGCTCTGCACTGTTCGAGTTGATAGGTTCGCTTATTAGTTGTCTTGTTGCAACAAAGGGGGCCTGCTATTGCAAAAAATAAAAATAAAAAAATTCAATCTATTGCCTTCTTTGTGACATTTACACAGTTGTTTTAACAAGACTGAATTCTAGTGCATTTTGTCTCCTTTTTCTAGAGGGTGCCCTTCCTTTGTAGATGCATAGCTTTTTAGAGCAGAAAAATGACCTTGTTCAATTTACCGGCTAATTTAAAATTAGTAGTAGCTGCATAGAGCTGGATACTTTCTTTGTGATACAGATATGTCACTGGTGGTGAAAGTCCTTTGGTTATTAGCCTGTTTCCAAGGACTTTGCTGGGTGTGTTGTGTGGCCTAATAGGTATTTTAAAATACTTTCATATAGTGCTTTACCATCTTGCCCTGTTTGAACAAGTACTAGCCAACTAGTACTCTTTGAGTTTTAGCATATAGTGATTTAATTCGTTTTCAAAAACTGCTGCATCACATTGCATAGTTCAGGTGGGCTGTAGTTTTAGCCCTTTCCCAGATTGATGACAGTTTTCGTTTTAACATTAAAACAGTTTTGTTGGATGGTGGTTCTCTGATGAAGTGAAATTTTAGTGAAGGGAGTGCAAGTCTACTAATTATAGACACCAGGTGTTTATGATTGAGGTTTTCTTTGGTTAGGAATTTACGTGTGGGAATTTCCTCTCCTCCCCTGGGGTAGTTATGACTGTACTGCTTACCAGTCCTGTGACCTTGGGGAGGACACTTAGTCACTCAGCCTCAGTTTCTGTAAAGGGTAATAATACCTGCTGTCTGCTCCACGGTAATACTGTGTGAAAGTGCCTGCTGAAGTGGAGTGGTTAAAAGAAAAAAAAAAAAGATCTTATTAGCCTTTACCATCTAAAAGTTGGTCATTTGTCATATAATTTATATTGTCTTCATCAAGTAGATCACAGAATACTAGAGATTAACTGCTTTTAAATTTGTGATTTTGTTGCAGTTTTTGTCAAATATGCTAGTGACTTCCCAAAGAGTATTTTATGAAGCACATGGTGCTTTGTTTTACATAAATTAGTTGACTGTGAATTGAGTTTTCAGCAAATTGAACACTGGGTAAAATTTAATTCTAATATATAAGCAAAATTTATTTCCTAGTGATGTGAATTATATATGTTGTTTTTCTGTGGTAGCAGATTCACGATTCAGATTAGCTTTTATGTCTCTTCAAGGAAAATGGAATGCTCTTGAGTTTGTAGGTGGTATAAGAAATTTTATCTATTTATCTGCTGGGTAAATGCGATGGGCAGCATTTAAAGGCATAAGAAATACAATGAGGGGGCTGGAGAGATGGCTCAGTGGTCTAAAGCACCTACTTGAAACAAGCTTGGCAAAGCACGGGGACCACAGTTCGATCCCCCAGCACCACATGCCAGCCAGCCCCGCCCCCTGGTGGGCTGAGCTGGCCACACACACACACA